ATGAATGGAATTTCCACTGCAAAGAATACTAAAGAAATAACATTAGAAGGCATTTAATAAAAAGATTTCATTATTAAAAAAAATAAATCATAATTTGGCATCTTATTTTAATGTATTTAAAGCTGAACTCCAGAAGTTAAAAATTATGCTTGCAATGGGGCTTTCCCCACACAGTGCAAGAGTTAAGTGCTCATTTTGTCTGGGGATAACAGAATAAGTAGCTATACTTACCATATTCCTCGCTCCTCTGGCAATCTTCTCCTCTGTCTGATGCTCAGGTTTGTGGGGGGCTCTCACTGTCCTTACGTACAAGTCAAGAATACTGTTCTGAGGGCCTGCAACTGCAAGAGCAGCAAGATATGTGGCATTGGTGGACCAGTCATGTAGCTGGGAGGAAGCCCATGGAAGTGAGGAATAGGATAAGTATTACTGCCTTTTTCTGTACCATTAGACTAAACGAGCATTTAACCCTTGCCATGTGGCACACTGCAAGATTCAGATACTGCAAGACAGAGTAGAGCCTTCTTAAAACGGAGAGTATTTACTTGTCATCATTTCCATTATAGATACAACACACCAGGGGTTTAATCCCCTTATTTAGGGACAGTGGAAGGGGCCATGCAAATCATTCCATTATATCACTGGGCCAACTGTGCAACCAGAACCTCTGGATTTTAGGGTATATTCAGTCTAATATAATAGATCATCTCTATACTGTTTCTGTCATGGGGGTTAGACTAAGGGCTCCCGCAAGTTAACAGGCCACAAGGGAGCACAGGTATTGTCCATTTAATATACCGTATGCACACTATATGGCAAAAGTACATGAACACCCCTCTAAGTATTGAATGCAGGTATTTTCAGTGAAGGGTACTGTTAATACTACTGTATATGAAGACATTTTAGTTGTACACTTCCAGCAATGTACAACAGTTTGTGGAAGCCCTTTTCTCTTCCAGCATGACTGTACCCCTGTGTACAAAGCCAGGTACATAAAGACAAGGTTTGATGAATTTGGTGTGGAGGAACATGAGTTGCCTATACAGAGCCCTGACCTCAACCCTACTGAAAACCTTTGGGATAATTTGGAATGTTGACTGTGAGCCAGGTCTTCTCATCCATCATCAATACTTGACCCCAAAAGTGTTCTATTGGCAAAATTAGTACAAATTCCTACAGATACTCCAAACTCTTTTGGAAAGCTTTCCAAGAAGAGTGGAGGCTATTATAGCTGCAAAGATGGGGGGGAAGGAAGAGGAACAAATCCATATTAATACTCATGGCTTGGAAATGTTTGAAATGAGATGTCCCACAAGGTGTCATAGTCAGGTTCCTGCAAACATATACTGTATATACACACACATACACATAGAAGGGACTTCATACTTTCTGGGTATTTGGGCATTTGTCCCTGAATATCACCCTAAATGTTCAGCTAATTGCTCCATTCAGCCGCACAACTTTCATACTCTCATAGCATTCAACATTCTGCCAGCAGCGGTTGGACGGGACACCTAAATACTGAAGTCACATGCACTGGAGTTAAACACTGTGTGCATGGGGCCTAAGTGTTGAGGAGGCATTCACAGGTCTTATAGTAGGAAAATTAAAGCAAACAGAAAAAGTTTTATTGTGTCTGACATTTCCATGGGCTTAGCTCATCTTTATCAAGATATACATATGGGCTAAGCGCCAATAAAATATGGAGCACAATAACATATTTTACATGCAAAAGATAAGTGTTGCAACCCTCATGACATATTCCAGAAGGTATAACGATCTCACCCAGTGACTCCTGCGGTCTCCATCCGCTGAACCAATAAGTCAATCATATAGGATCGGCAACAAGGTGAGGATGAATTGTAGAGACTTTATAGTTACTATGAGTAAGGTCTTGTTTGACTGAAAAGTGTTATTGTTGCTTTTCTTCTGGAACGTTTTTATACTCTGCATTCAAATAAAGTCTCTACAGTTCATCCTCACTTGTTGTCAATCCTATATGTATTGACAATAACATGTGTATATATAATAAATATATATATATATATATATATATATATAGCCACTGTATTATGTCACAAAGGTATAAGTACCAATTAAAGATATGTAGAGCAAATATCAAATGCCAAACAGTGAAAAACTGGAACAAATTGAAGGCATTGGCCAGATTTTGTTTTCCTGTACATGTTAGAAAATGCAAGCTCACGTTTGATTGGCTGTTTTGGACAATAGCACTAGTATTTCTCTAATCCATTGTTTGATAATTAAATAACCCTTTAATTAGTATTTAAGTCTATTTATAAGATCATTGCATGCATTTTATTAATCTGTTAATAGAGATTTACCAGCTAATTTAGAACAAATATTTAATTTATGGGTAAACACTGGTAAACTGACTCACCCACTGGCTTGCTGTTTCTCCCAAGGAACCCAGAGTTTAAGTAAACCTGTCATTGTGAAGAAGCAATAATCCTAACTTTAGGTTAAAAGCAGGGTCCCACAGGTCCCTCAATGTAATGTTTTAATTTTTTCTGAGCAAACCTGAAGTCCCCAAACCTGGAACGCTTAAAGAGACCCTGTCAACAAACATCAAGAATTTTTAATTCTTACTTGTGCCCCTGTACACAATATTTCAAATGCATAGCACAGCCCCTCCATCCTTACATGTCATAGCCCTCTCCTCTTCTTACAGTGTCTCATTACTGTCTGTGCTGGCCCAACTTCAGTCTCTTATGTAGGGGCCAGGGGAGAAGCAAAGAATATTATAGAGTGGCATCTGTAAGTCTGCTGGGGCTTCTTACATCACATTCAAATGGCAGTGTTCAGCAGAAAGTCTCAGAACCGCAGCATGAAGAACAGATGCCTGACCGGGACCCTCTGTCTTCAGTCAGTATTACACTGAGGGCATCCTCTCTTCTTTTGGTTCCCATCAGTGTACGGGACATCCAATGTTAAGAACATGGCTGGAAGGAAGGACTGATAAGCGACAGGAAGGCAAAATGAAAAGAAATACCCACCGCCAGATAAAGTGTAGTTTGCAAAAGCAAGGGGTTCATCAAATCTGAGTGTGGTCACTAAGGGGGTCACTATAAGAAGAGAACTTTTCAAGAGCAATTTTTAAAGAGCACCTGTCACTTTATCAAGCCTTTTGAGCACGGAGCACTTTGAGAAGAATATACACGCATATTGTGAATTGAAAGTTTTTATTTGAAGGTTCACTTGGACATTTGGAAGGACACGGTTGATTTTCACTGTTGAGCGCTGTAATTATTTTTTGTTCAGCATCAGTGGTATACACCTGAACAGCTGCACCAGTCATTTTTGTTTTTGTTGTTTGGGTTGTGAAGAGCCATAGTGCGGTCCATATTTTTGTTTTAAACAGCAATAATAGCTTGACAGATGCTTTAGTTAGTAGTAGTCACATTTAACTGGACATGTCCTGTAGTGTTCAAGATGATTTGTTTCGTAGCTTCTCCAAGCCACATATTCCGTTCTAATGAGTGTCTGGAAGATACCCAGCATTTTTGTCATTGGAACTGAAAAAGTGGCTTGGATAAGCTATGAAATGCCATCAACATTACAGAACAAATTAAATGTGACTAATTACTACTAGCTACACCATGACCTAGATAAAGTTGGCAGAGGGTCTAACCATCCCCTATTAAATCCGAACAAAAAAGAAGTTTTGTCCTATATGGGTATGCCTACATCCACTTTCAGAGGATGCTACTACAGTCTTGAAGCTATTACACACCAAAATGTAGGTAGGGTAACCCCATCATTCATTATGATTGCTACTGCATACTTGTGGATGACTTTCCTATCCTCTCGTTGAGAGTCGATAATACCTTGGAAAATTTCTCTCTGGGGTTTCCAATTTTTCCTTCACCTTGTGAGAAAGCTATGGGGAAATGGAGAGCTCCCTCAATTCTCCTAATGGCTGTGGAGGGTGGGAAGACCTGGAAACTGACTGGAATAGATGCAAGAAGCCAGTGGATGACTCAACCCACCGACCTCCACCCTAAAGTGATATCTCGGTTATTACCCTTTAGGTGGGCAACGAGCTCTTGACCATAAATAGATGACCTTATATAATTGTAAGGCTAAGAGTGCAGCAATCTTATTTCTTTTGGTTTTGTATTTTCAGGAGTCCTCTGCCTTCCAGACAGTTTGAACCTCCATAGAGAGCACCAAAGACCCAATAAACCAGGTGATGTACAGATGTTTAGCCAATCAGAACTGAGGACTATAGAGCAGTCTTTGCTTGCCACACGTGTGGGAAGTATTGCAGAGCTCAGTAAGTACAAGTCTGTGAATATTTTTTCTCCCTCTCCCCTCTTTCCTCCTGTATCCTCCAGCTACACACAGCATTCTGCAGCAGACAGCCATGGTAACTACAATATATGCAATTCATCTTAGTCCACTGTAATTATGGCAGTGCAACAAAGATGAATGTACCTGTCGCTGGTATGGAAAATTGATTTTCATCTGTTATGAGAGGATGGATTACATGTATTTGTTAGGCTATATACTGTATGCACAAGCACAAACTGACACACATGTACATGCAGTAGGCTACCTATATAAACACTAGCCATTTTTTCTGCTGCAATCATTTTCACTTGAAAATTGTTTCCCACAGCAGACAATCAACATATATATTTTATGGTCCTTTCCGCCTATTTTTTCAGTTTTAGGCAAAGTGCTGAGGGTTTGGAACCCCTGTCAGTTTTTTTTTTTTGCTAGAAATAACATATACAGTATCGCACAGACTTCTGAACCATAAATAAGGATAGGTACCATGCTCACAGGTGGTACCATGGAAAATTCTAAATGAGCAGAAAGCCAGCACTCAGGTATAGTCCAAGTGAAAATATTCAATGAACTCCTAAACCAGAAAAAAACACCAATGTTTCAGGAACACACCAGCCAGTTCTATCTTTATCCTTAATAAAAGGGGCCTGGGTTCCCCCAAAATGTATTTTTTTCTGGTATGGGACTTCAGTGAAAATTTCAACTTGGACTTTTTTTGAGTGCTGGCCAGGGGCGGACTGACAACTCATGGGGCCCCCGGGCAATAAGGGATCATCGGGCCCCTGTGTCCTTGCCCAAAGTAAAAAAAGCCTATGAAAAAGGTACCAGGGGCATCTCATGGGGCCCCCCTACTGACCCCAGGCCCTCGGGCAGTGCCCGAGTTTCCAAATGGTCAGTCCGCCCCTGGTGCTGACCTTCTCTCCATGTTGAGCTTTTTTTTATTGCTCTCTGTGTCACCGCTAAGGAGAAACATTCTTTTTGTTGGTGACCATCGTCAATGGGTCGGAAAATGATGGAAAATTCAAATTTTTCAGTTGACTCCGGAATAAGAATAGAGGGGAAAATATTCCTTCTGGGTTCCCTATCTTAATGACAACTGTCAGAGAGGATTTCCCTCACTTTGCAAAGATTTCCTCCTACTTGCTGCTATGTCTACAGGACAGGAAGTGGAGGAAATCTCCCCTTTTGGTATACCATAAACTCCTACCTACATTCAGAAATATGGCTCTTTACAGCTTTATTGGTCCTACTATTGCACTCCTAAGCTCCTGTATGCATCTGATTTGTTGTTAGTTTACATCTTATCATTTCACTGATATTGCAGATTGAAAACATCTGGTCTTTTGACCTGGGGTTCTCAACATAGTGCTGTCAGGTGGCTCTTAATGTAATTTAAACTATGAAATAATGTGAAATGTGACAGTCTGCTACTCCCTGAGTTACTTCCAAGATCGTAACACCAGCTGGCAAGATGAGGTTATCAGAGACTTAGCATAGTTACAACATAAGAGTTTACCGGTGACACCATTTTCATATATGTGTGGTGGAAGCTTCTGAGCATGATCCTGTGTGTAGATAGGCTCTTCCCACTATAATTAGGCCTTAGATTCATTGATGTGGCACTGTGGGGGGAACTGCTTAAGGCTTGTTGGGCTATTGTGGTAACTGCATATCTTGAGTATCTTAACAATTTTATTGTCAAACATCTATTTTGCTTACTAACCATTTTGCTTCTCAGATATTACAAATATGAATATCAGTGAAGAGCTTGTCAATAGGTTGAATGACAGTACAGAGCTTGTCAGTCTGTGCAGCATGCCTGTTACCCAATTCCTTCAATGATGAGCTCAGGAAGGATGTCTCTGTTGAAATTCCACCGCAATCGAAAATACTTTCTTCAAGCCACTATTCAGCTGCCGAGAGCTTTTACTTAGAACTTTTTAGAAAAATGTAACTAATTTAAAGATGTACATATGTGCCATCTGCAGTACTTAGTTTGTTGTTTTTGTCCAGAAGGTGCAGTTATAATACTAAACATTTTAACTTCTGCTTTAAATCATCAATTTTAATATGATATGGGAAGATTTAGAAGGTATTTAAATCAAAAAACTATTTGATTAATTCACTTGTATCCTAACAATAGTATCTCTTTTAGGCTCCATTCACACCTATGCAGTTTTCTTTTTGTCTGTCTTGCAGTGCTTTTCGCAGCTCGTCTTCCGCTTTTCTACGCACATTTTTTATTAATTTTTTATGCGTTTCTACCATGTTCAGCTCTTTTTTTTAGAAATTAAAGTAGAATTTCTTTTTGCTGGGCAGAATAAAAATGCAAAACGCAAAACACGGCAAAAACGTGACAAAAACGCACTACCATGCATTCCAGCAGATTCTCCATTGACCTCTATTGTAGTAAAAATGCTGCTTTTTGTTTTTAAAAAAGTCCCTGACCCTTTACAAAAACGCAGCAGATCAAAAAAGCATAGATGTAAACATGTTCCATAGGAAGCCATGTTAAATGGACTGTAGTGCATTTCTGTAAAAAGCAAAAAGCACTAAAAAACGCCTTGGTGTGAACGGAGCCTTAAAAAACATGCAGAAATCTTAATGGATGACATGTCGGGGTTGATTTACTAATGGCAAACAGACTGTGCAATCTGCAAATGCAGTTGCTCCAGACCTTAGTAAATGAGGTAAAGCTTCACTTTGCAAAGAATACCCATCACCTGCAAGGAAAAAAAAAAAAGCATTTTTGCTTGCACACGGTTGGATGATTGAAGTCAGCAGATATTCTGCTCATTTAGTAAGCATTGGAGCAACTGCACTTGCAGAGTACAACTGCACTTTGCAAAGTGCGCTGTCTATTTGCCTTTAGTAAATCAACCCCTAAGTTTGGTAAAGCATTGTAGGTCATAACCAATTGCCAAAAATATATATAATAAAAGACTTGTTTTTACCATTTTTCCATTCTTTGTTGCATCTCAGTGCTGTTGATCTCTTGCAGCCACTTTGCGGTCACTTCCTGTCTGTATGCACTCCAGCGATAGCTCTATGGCATTTCTCATCGCGGGTTCCCTTATGGTGGCAACATTGGATTATGCATGCCTAATGTGTGGTGAAACAGCCGCTCATAGTCTTCATTGGAAGCTTGGGTGACAGAATGACAACAAAAAAGAGCACAATTGGCAGACAGGGACAGAGTGCTGTCATTATTGATATAAAGTTAGTAAATGAAAGATTTAAAAATATTTAAAATAACTTTAAAAATTATATTGGATCAGAATTTCACTTAAAGTACGTTCCATTCATCCTCCTCCTCCCCCACACTTCCACTTTTCTTGCCTAGTTGGAAGTTGTCCCCACCCACCCCCCCCAACCTTCTGGGACATGTCACACGGGAAGGCACACCGCACCTGGTGCAGGAAGTCACAGCCAGTTTCCCACAGTCAAGATGGCGGCATCTGGGACCTTAAGAACCCAGTTAAGAACTGGTCCGGTTGAAGACAGCGCTGGATCCCAGGTCTGGTGGGTGTCTATTTATTGACTTTTCATTTTTTTTTAAAGACTGAAGTTCCTCTTTAACCACTTGCCTACAGGGCACTTTCACCCCCTTCCTGCCCAGGCCAATTTTCAGCTTTCGGTGCTGTCACACTTTGAATGACAATTGCGTGGTCATGCAACGCTGTACCCATATGAAATTTTTATCATTTTTTTGAGACAGATAGAGCTTTCTTTTGGTGATATTTAATCACCACTGGGTTTTTATTTTTGCTAAAGAAATGAAAAAAGACCTGAAAATTTAGAAAAAGAAAATTTCTTTGTTTCTGTTATAAAACTTTGCAAATAAGTAATTTTTCTCCTTCACTTATGTGCACTGATGAGGCAGCACTGATGGGCCTGACGAGGTGGCACAGATGGGCGCTGATGAGGAAGCACTGATGAGGCTGCACTGATGTGGCACTGATAGGCAGCCCTAGTGGGCGTTGATAGGTGGCACTGATGGGCACTGATGGGCATTAATGTACCCTTTGGCGCCTTATAAATACTCTATAATAATAATAATAATAGGTGGCACTGATAGGGGGCATTGATGAGGAAGCACTGAGAGGTGACACTGATGAGGAGGCACTGATGGGCACTGTTAGGCAGTACTGATGGGGCTGCACTGATAATCAGGGCACTGATAATCAGTGCCCTGATTATCTGTGTACATGCCCTTGTTACGCTTGCCGATTACCGGCTCTGCTCTCCTCAGGCTGTGAAAACGCATGGAGAAAGTACTGCCGATAACCGGCAAGTGTGTTTAGAATGTGATCAGCTGTGACTGGACACAGCTGATCACATGGTAAAGGGCTGCTGTGATTGGGGGGGGGGCTTATGGGAACCATGGATACAGGAGGACTTCCATGGTTGCCCTCTAGGAACAGCAGAGACGCTCTGTAGCCATATTTTGGCTATAGCCTGGTAAGAAAGTGGTTAACATGTTAAAGTGGTTCATGACCAAGCCATGTCATGTGTGTCCATGGATGCACACAGCCCATCTTGGGAGCAGCAGCTGGTTTGCTTTGGGTGCACTCAGAGTGCTGGCGGGGGACTCCAGAAAAGGAAGTAAGGGATCGAGATAGGGTAATATAACATGTTTGTTATTTTAAGAAAAAAAAATCAACTTTTACAACCACTTTACATAAACCCAGTGAAGTGATCAACCCTATCTACTGTCTTTCAAAGCGTACAGTTTACACAGGGTTTCTGATGGTCAGAAGGCAGGGGCGGGGATCTAATATTACACAGTGCACAGCTTAGAGAGGAAAACTGAGTGTAATATGAGACTTGAGTGTAGGGAAAGGACACTGCCCTCTTTACATAATCTTGTATGGAAACATGCACAGCTCAGACTGTAACAGGGCTCCCTCAACCCCCACCCCCCTAAATCCCTTGGAGTTGGCACAGACTGTTAGAAATGCAGATAACAGTGGAACCAGACTACAGACAGAAATCACACTCTGATTTGGATTCAGGCAAGTGCACATTATACAAGGGATATGCTTTGTTAATTTTCATGTCAGAAGTTTACAACAAACTTTAACTCCGGGCTCAGCTCCTTCCCCTCAATCATCCGCAATGTTATTTGCCTGCTAATCCACCTTGGCCAATCAAAGAAAGCCTTGTGTTTATTTATAAAAAACAATCCTTCTTTTAAATGGTGGTAATGCAGTATGGGCAATTCTCTCTATACCTCAGCACAAGCTGCTACAGTACAGTATGTTACAGCCTAAGCAGCAGCCAGTCCATTTTGGCATGCAAATAATTTGTTTGGTCCAGGCAGGCCAAAGCAAATTATTTAAAGTACCAGAGAACGCGGATTTGAGCTTTAAAACTTATATGAGGTTTTAGTGATTGAATTTACATTTTCTTTAATATACATTTTATTACTGGCTGCCTAGACTTACTGCACTTTGCACATTCACTTTGCTTTTTGCATTCCCTTTTTGAATAATTCTGAATTATCCAGGTTCCCAAGTGAAAAAAAGGAAGAGCGGCGTTTTGAAGTAGATCTAAATCATCAACTGGTTTATATAAAGTAGCAGTTAGTAATGTATATTTAAATAAACATTAAACCTAAAATAAAAAAAAACTTACATTATTTGATATCTTTACTTAGAATATTCACAATCGTGTATTTGGAGTATTTGGAAGTTCCAGTGACTGCATACAAAATGAGATACTGTATTTGAAGTTGATATAATAGGCTATGTAGGCAAAATTATTTTATGGGAATACTGGAGAGCAAGTCTTGTGTGTAGAGGAAAGTATTGCCTCCCCGTTCCACCGTCATTTTGAATGTCTTCTGATTTGATATTCCTCTGAAACATTTGTGTATCCATCCATGAATGTTATTAGAGCTGCTTTTACATAAACTACCTTGTAAT